ACACACACACACACACACACACACACACACACACACACACACACACAAAGAGGGAGGTAAAGAATGCCTACCACTGGTTATCAGCATCTATATAAAAGGGTTTCAAACTCCTTACTGACCAAACAAGGCCTGCTGTGTACCTTCAAGATAAATACAACCTGTAAGTTCCGAGTTAAATTGGTGATACCCAAATCCTTGCCGACCGATTAGCCTGACAGAATCCTGACTGACTTGACCTGGACTGTGACAACCACGTAACGTGACTTTCAAGGTCCACTGATTCCAACTTGCGTGAGCTTGCTTTCTGACCAGCCTCCCAGAAAACAGCACCATACAGGAACTGCTGTTTGCAATTAAGGTTTCTGACCCAAGAAGATCCCCCATTGCTTGCTCTGTCCTACTTTTGGCCAAGGAAGCAGTCAAATAAGGCCAGCCATAGTTTCCTGACCACTCAAAATAAAGTGAACTATTTTAAATCTAAAGAAAAGGCGACCATGAATACAGCCTAGCTGTCTTCTCTGGAGCCCCCTAGCTGGCTCCTAGCTATGTGGCATTCGATAATGGGTCCTAAAACAAAACTCAAAGCTTATATATTAAAATCAAAGAGAAAGTTCTCCAATGAAGGAAACAGGATAAAAGAATTAAGGATACTTTCAAAAAATACAATCTTACATACAGCTATAACATTCACATTCTTGATAGCATCTATCCTGAACTAAGGATATTGCTGGAAGCATAAAGAGAAAGGGCTTTTTATAGCATTGCAATCTTCAATTAGACACCCACAATGGGATATGAACCATAAATGTGTTTTATATGTGTGTATAAACTATATTGTTTCTAATACTGCAACACCATCTGTCACCAACAGCATCTGTCATCCACACAAGGTGCCACCGGCTCCTTCAAAGGGTACCATACAAATCAATGCAGATGTTTATACACTAGGAGACGAGGCCGAGATAAATCTACAGAGTACAGATATTCCAACAGACGCACCCGTTGAGACAACCTCATACCACAGAAACGAGCAACTTCATGAGAAAAGATGTCTACGATTGGGACCTATAGAATTTTCCAATCCAACAGTCCTGGAGGTACTCTTTTTAGTACGTTGAATCTGAAAACAAGCTATGAAAACATGCAGAAGGAAACAACAAAGGGGAAACAAAATTTAAACCACATTTCCTCTGAGTTTCTGACAATTTTTTTCCTATAGCTTATTTACAAGATTCTCATATGGAAGAATTAAAAAAAAAAAAAAAAGCCCTATGTGACCAAATGAATGCCTTTATCTTCTCCTATTTATATAGAAGCTCATGTTTGACTCTAAGATGAGAAGGCCTGAGGTATGCCTGGGACCTGGAATATAAGGATTCCAGAGCTGTTGACCACTTTAGACCCAAAGACATTTCCTTAATAGGAAACACTCACTGATTCTGTACGACTGCTGCTGGGGGGTCGGTACGTCCAGTCTATGGTGAGTTTGTCAGTGACAGATGAAGTCGACTTGAAGGTGCATTTCAACTTGATCTTCTCTCCTACATAACCCCGGACGTGGGCATCTACTTTAATCTCCAAGGAAAGGACGACTTGAACACCTAATCAAAGCAAGCCCAAACATTTAAAAGGTATGCATTTAGGTGGGATAGATAGATGTGAGTGAGCAATACAGAGACGCTATCGTTTTTTGGGCTCTCAGAGGAATAAATGAGTATCTTCTCAGGCAGGCCCAGAAGGTCAAGGAGCAGGTATCTGCATGAAGCAAGGGTAGTATTTTTGTCATTTTACAATATTAAATCACAGAATGAATGCTTGGGTAAAAATCTAAAACCTAGGGTGCCTGGGTGGCTCAGTTGGTTAAGCGACTGCCTTCGGCTCAGGTCATGATCCTGGAGTCCCGGGATCGAGCCCCACATCGGGCTCCCTGCTCAACGGGGAGTCTGCTTCTCCCTCTGGCCTTCCTCCCTCTCATGCTCTCTCTCTACCATTCTCTCTCTCTCAATAAATAAAAATCTTTAAAAAAAAATCTAAAACCTGATCACACCAGCATTTTTCCAAATACAGACTTGTGGTTAAATGCAGTACAAACAAGTGGGTCCGCCCACAGCCGCTAAAAGGCAATGCTGTGTACCCCCGGACACACTGACACCCCAGGAATTATAGCAGCTGCTGTGGTCTAAGGGACATACCCCCAAGAACAGCCTGGCTATAACCTGAGGCTACCACTTTCTCAACCACCAGCAAAATGAGAACAGGAAATAAGAAGAGGAAATTTTTTCAAAGAATTTTAGAAAACCGCCCCCAGGTTCTATCTAGCCGTGTTTTATCTTTTCCTTTCTTAAAGCTGGTTAATGAATCCTGCATCCATTAAAAGTAAATCATGGGGAGGAAAACAGAACAATTTAATGCATTCTAAAATATAAAACTATCATTTTTAAACGCTCTAGAGATTTAACTCTTGCCAAAACGGGCTCATATATCCAATTTTGGCATTCCAGCTCCCCCAAAAAGAGCTCCCACTTCTGACCAATCCCCTTTCAAAAAACACTGAGTAGAAATTTATCTTCCAGAAGGGAGCCAATTTTTAGGAAGGTCACCAGCACTTTATTTTTACTGCTTTCTTCTCCACTGCAACAAGCCCTGATTCTTTTGGCAGGCCAAAGGCACACAGAGCAGCAAGGATTCAGAAGAGGGCAAACCCACAGACAATCCACATACCCACAGTCCCCCTAGTCGAGGCAGGATGCAAATCCCAGCACTATGGCTTGCTGGCTCTGTGGTCTCAGCAAGTTACTTTACTCTTCATTTTCTCACTCTGGTGAGAATGACAATAACAGCACTTACCTTAGAAGGTCAGTGTGAGGAATAAATGAGTTAAAACAGGTGTTAACACTGGAAAGCCTGCCTACCCCAGAGTAAGTGCTCAGTGCACTTCTTCAGTTCTGCCTACACTCTCTCAACCGTCCCCATCACAGACACAGTTATGAGTCATCAACACCTTTACCTCTGTCTGCTCTGAATCATTTTTCTTGCTCCTCTCAAGACAATCTAGTCTGTTCACATTCTTCTTAAAAGGAGGAGACCAAGACTGAGCTCACACTCTAATAAGCATCTGATCCCAAAGATGAAGCTTACCTCTGTTTCCTCCATACCATCCAATCTGACTTTGCCATGCTAAACTTGTCGTTCCTTCTATGACTTGGCAAATGCTGTTCCCCTGCCTGGAAAGCCTTCATTCATCCTTTAGCCCCTACTCTCTCCCAAGCCTTCACTCCCAACCCACCCTACACACAACTCATGATCCAGCTCTAAAAACTGGAAGCTGGAAATGGATGGATAATCCACACTCTCCCCATACTATTCCTTTATCCTAAAATTCAAGTGCAGTGGAGAGATTTGAAAGCATGGATTTAGAATTAGATAGACCTGGACTTGCGTTCTAGCCCAGCTACTTTCTAGATGTAAGATTTTAATCACAGTCACCTAACCTGTTCAAGTTTCAATTTCCTTACTCAGTAAATGGGAAGAATGACAAGACCTACTTCACTGGGTCACTGTAAGGATCCAATAAGATTAAATAAGATAACACATAAAATGCTTAGCATCTGAAAGAGAACCTTTCCATAAATGTTAGCTGTTATTATTAAAATGAACACCACAAACATTCAAAAACCTTCAATAATTCCTTCTTGGGATATAGAATAAAATCCACATAGAGACAATCTGGCCCCAAACCTCTGCCACTCCACCCACCTACTCATCCCATCCCTTTCACCATGCCCAGAATGTCTGCCATTTCCCAAATTTAAACTTTCATGACACTGTGCCTCTCCCTGAATATGGCTTTGTCTGGAAGGCTCTCCCCATTTCTACCAATCCTACCTGTTCCTACCATACCACAACCCCCCAATGCTCACACACCTTCAAAACCCTGTTTCAAATAGCAGCCCCCTCTGCGATGCCTTCCCAAATTCCCTGGTGCAGTTCACTGCTCTTTCTTCTCTGTTCTCATAACAGTTAGCACATAATGCTACTCAAGCACATGTATTGTTCATTGCCCTCAATTTGTAAAGACTATTTCCCCTGTTACACACAAGCACCTAGAGGGCAAAAACTCAGAGGGAAGGGAGCAGACAGAGACTGAGAGAAAGAGGTGGACAGGTCACCAAAAATTCTAGTATAGGAACAAAGTGTGCTCACCAGTCACCCACTCTCTTCCTCTTTTACAGTATTTCCAACATTCTTAAGTCCTCTACACTCCTCTCTTCCCAGTGCACCCATTCAGGAAAAGCTTAACCCTAGATGACTGCTCCTAGCCTGTGGCTGGTGTACACTGAAGGAGAAAAATCACCCAACTGTACAGATAGTTACCATAAGAAATTCATGGATTCCATCTGAGCCCTTAAAGAGGCATGATGACCCTTTAACCAGCCTCGGTCAGCTCCTCTTTCTGATTCCTCCAACCCCTGCCATTCTTACCACCCTCCGTGCAACCTCCAAATCCCTCATTCTCAGAAGAAAATATCTCCTCTTACTTTTTGAAGAAATGTAAGGCTATACAAACTGCCCAGCCATGCACTCTCCTGTGTCTACACCCATCCATACTTCCAATCTGAAAGTGTGTGGTATCCCTTTTCCTATGCAAGGCCAACCCCTTATGTTCTGCCCTGGATCCCTCCCCTCCAAGCCCTGCTTCAGCAGAAAAACCCTCTCTACTATCTTCAAACTCTTCCTTTTCAGAGGGGCTCTCTTCCCCTTCAGTCTCTAAATACAAATAAGTCTCTCCCATCCTTAAAAACAAACAAAAAACAATAAAACAAAATAATGATGATCTTTCCTTAACCCTGCAAAACTACATTTACCAGCTACTGCCCTCTCTTTCCTTTCTAAGCCAACTCTGTGAAAGAGCAGTGTACACCTGGCATTCTCATTCACTTCTGGGCCCCTATAGTGCAATACAGATTCAACTAACATTTCTGATAAAAGGCATCATGTCTTAAAAGTACAAAATCCAAGGGATAAAAACTCTAATAGGTACTTTTCTATCCTGATTTTACTGGATCTCTCTGATGCAGTGACTCCCTGCTCTTCTCTATTCTTCTCTATCCCAAGGCTTCCATAACAATATTCTTAATTCATTCACTCACTCTTCAAACATATAGTTATTGAGGATCTGTTTTGTGCCACCTTCTGAGCCTGGAATTAAATGTGAGCAAAATAAATGCACTCCCTATTTTGGAGCTTAAAATACAGCAAAAGTTCAACACATTAATCAAATAATCATAAAAACAATGTATAATTACAAAATCTGATAACTACTATTAAGCAAAGACAGAGAGTGACTATGAGAACTGCACCAGTTATGGTAGAGGAGTAGGGAGTGGTTAATGAAAGCTTCCCTGGAAAAGTTACTTTTTGAGTAGAGCTCTGAAGGAAGGGTGACAAGGTGAGGAAAGGGAGAGTATTCCAGGCAGAAAACACAGCATATGCAAGGGTCCTGTGACAGGAAGGAGCACAGTCAGCCATGGAACCAAAAGTAAGGCAGTATGGCTCCAACACAAAAAGCATGAGAAAAAGAAAGATGTGGCTAGGAGGTAAGCAGGAAGCAGATCATGCAGAACCTCAGAGAATTGGGTCCTTATTCTTAGAGTAATGGGAAGCCATGAAAAATACTTAAATGTGGGACTGAGGGAGAAGAGACATGATGAAGTTTTCATTTTTTAAAAGATCACTCTAGGGAAGACACTTAGGAGGAGTCGAGTAAATATAAGGAGAGAACTTAGAAGGCTACTACAATAGTCAAATGAGAAATAAAGCTTGAACTAAGTTGGTAGTAGGAGACATGGAAAAAATTAGGAAGACAGTACTTACAGAGTAAAATCAGCAAGAATTGGTGGTAGATTGGATGTGGAATGTTAGGGAAACAGAGGTGATAAGGATGACTCCCAGGTTTCTGACTTGGTAATACCATTCACTGACATAAGAAAGACTAAAAAATACCAATCGTGGGTGCCTGGGTGGCTCAGATGGTTAAGCATCTGCCTTCGGCTCAGGTCATGATCCCGGGGTCCTGGGATCGAGTCCCGCATCGGGCTCCCTGCTCCTTGGGAGCCTGCTTCTCCCTCTGCTTCTCTCTCTCTCTCTCTCTCTCTTCCTCTGTCTCTCATGAATAAATAAATAAAATCTTTAAAAAAAAAATACCAATCGTGGCAGGGAAGAACATGAGCTTGATTTTGGATAAGTTTAATGTGCCTCTGAGATGGCCAAGAGATAATGTCAATGGATGGCTGGTGTAGAGCAAAGGTCAGCAAATTATGGCCTGTGAACCAAATCTAGCCTACAATGTCTCTTTGTAAATAAAGTTTTATTAGAACACAGCCATATTTATTCATTTATATATTGTCTCTGGCTGCTTTTGTGCTACTCAAACAGAACTAAATAGTTGCAACAGAGACCACATGGCCCACAAAGCCTAAAATATTTATTCTCCAGCCTTTTACAAAAGTTTGCCAACCCTGGTTTAGAGTAAATAAGAAATATATGGGTTACAGTTATAAGTCAGAATCTCACTAATGTCCCTCCAGCTAACTCTGCACACTGAATGTCACATACACACATACAAACTCCACATGCGATTTAAGTTAACCCAATCAAAGTATAAGTTTCAGAAAATTTGCTTAGAAAGTTACTTAATGTCTCTATGTTTTGTTTATGTTCCTATGTTGGAATTTTACTCATTCCCTATCTCTAACTTCTTCTTTCAAGATTTAACTTTGGTGGCACATCCAGGAAGTCTTCCTTGTATCCTTATGGCAGATTAAGGGCACCTCTTCTGTGCTTCCACATTTCTTAATACCAGATTCTAAAATTATCTGTTGATGTGTCTGTCTTCTCCAACAGACCCTGAGCTCATCAAAACAGAAACTAGCACACTGTCGATGTTCAGTAATATTAAACTGAGCCAAACCAACAGTTTCCTTTTTATGAAACAAAAATTATTGCAAAATAAGCATAAAAACTACAAGTTCTGAGCAAAATTTGGTTACTGAATTATAGTAAGTACACCATTAATAAATCTACCTACCAACCAACTTCTTGTTACTATGTTTGAATTCCATATTCATGAGCATGATTTTGCCACAAAGTTATCAATAAGTAAAGTCATTTTGCTTAAATCTAAACACTGGATAAGTGAGTCTTAAATGTATAGAGAAAAGCAAGATCCATGGATGAACTAAACTAATCTACATGTCAGGATGTTGGTTCCTCTTGGGAGAGAAAGGATAATGACTGGAAGGAAGTACAAGGAAGGCTTCTGGAATACCAGTAACATTCTATAACCTGATTTCAGTGCTGGTTACCCAGGTGTGTTCAGTTTCTAAAAATGCATTAAACTGTACAATTACCATATGTTCACTTTCTCTATATATATATTATACTGAAATTAAAAGTGTTTTACAATCAACAGACATAAAATCATTTGTCTACCCCACTCAAAAAATAAGAAAAAAATTACTAATCCACTGTTACATTCATTTAGACATTTTCATCCTAGGTCTAATGTGCTTAGGGTTATTTATCTTTTCTCCTGAGTAAAAAAACATTCTTGCCAGGTAGAATAGAATATACTCATAAAAATTAACAATTTGTTTAATTTGGGAGGAAAACAAGAAAATCACATTTAAATATATGTAATTTTACACACAGAAGGAATGAAAAAAATATGATAAAACAAAACTCCCAGCTTTGTACACCCAATTTTCCAAATACAAATCTGTCAACATTTAGTTCATAAAAGTGCACACTTAAATGGAGATAAGTATAAGAACCCTAGGCTGTCTAATCTATTGTTTCCATGTACTATGACAACTGATATAACAGGACCATGTTTATAACTTGGAGAATTCAAACAAGCTAATCATTTAATGGGTGCTATCTTTGAAGAGGAAAAGCAAATAAACACTGGTATGAAACCAAAGTCTATTGCCTAACATTAAAAAAAATGGGTGAATCTTGAAAACATGCTAAGTTTAAGAAACAAGTACATACGGGTCATAAGATAAATTTTTAAGTTTGAATTAGTTGGTCTGCTGTCTTTGGTGGATGCTTTTCAATGTGAAATGACATCAAGTTTAAGAAACCACCCATCATTTCTAGAATTTTTTTCTCAGTAGGACAATATTTGAATATTTGTGAGAGGGACAGAGAGATGAAACCAGAATATTTGGAATGATAGGTCAACCTAAATATTATATTGCAAAAGAATTTAGCTGAAAAACTGGACACTTGTGATGACAGAGTGCTGGGAGGGATCAGGGAGTGTGTTGGCAACATGAATATTAGTCATCAAATAAATAACTTCCTGGCCTTACCTGCTAAGATTTAGAACTTAAGTCTTTACATCAAAGTCCCCCTTCAGAAATTCCCACTTATCCACAGGGAAATTTTATGAAGTTAACAATTCACTCTGATCCTAGCTCTATTAACACATAATTTCCTGAGAAGACACACACATACACACACACACACACACACACACAAATCCATAACTGCACCCTAAAATGAAGGTAATTAGGTTGGGCTGAAATTTATGCAATTTGAAAACTGCATGAAAGCAAAACTTACCCAAATTCTAAGACTATGCCATGGTGTGAATACTGTACTTACGATATTAAATAGATTAAAAATTTTAACAGTTTATATGCTTTCCTGAATTTTAAAAATGTTATTAAAATGCTACAGCAGTTGCTTTTTCCTCAACAAAATGCGTCTCTCCTGTAACGAAATCACAGCACATCTTTTCAGTGACATATAAAATAAACATTTTACTTCCAAGGCCCTGACAATCACCTACAAAAAAGTACCAACGGTCATGATTTTCTTTCCCAAAATTACTGACACAAACTCCTGAACGCTAGAACTATCCTTCCTAATCAGGGCATTCAGCACACAAAACCACAGCGGAGTCAACCGCTGGTAACTCATCACAAGATATCACGGGGGGACCACAAAGCCAGCGCCCTCCGTGGTTCTATCGCGTTGTGCCATCACCAGAATACAAAGCAGTCACGCAAAGTGGTCGAGCTCCCCACGGCTCAGGAAAGCACCGACAAGCTGCCAACGGCCCTCAAGTGGGTGGTGAATGCAAGAAGAAAGCACACTCCCCACACAGCCCCACTTCCTGCACTGCCAGAAGAGGTGTGGGGGCTTTCCTGAGACCCCCCCACACCGGAACCGGAAAACCGACCATCTTCCCTAACCCCCCGACCGGAAGTTGGGGGACCCAGCCGGCGCTCTCACCCTGGAAGAATAAAAAGCCCAGCAGTGGGAACAGAGCGCAGCCACGGCCTCCAGCAGCTCCGCTCTGCTGCATCCCGACAGCTCTCTGGATGCTTGCACACCTTGTTTACGGCTCCCGGTAACCACACAGGTGATACCGGAAGTGACGTCAGGGCGGGAGGCCGCGAGAACACTTTAAAATGGCGATTCGAAGTTGCCATAGGAACGTGGCATCTTTCCAGAGCCACACCTGAACCTGCTCTGACCCGCGATTTTTTTAAGTCTCGAATGAGAATCAGTTAATCTCTTTTGCTTGACAATGAAGTAAGCCACAGACTTTGGAAAAATTACAATTTATTTTTATGGAGTTCTGTCGTACTAGTCTTGATCCTCCAATTCTCTTCAGAAGTCATTTTTTACTCCCTACAGATTATTTTATTTGAACTATCTCAAAATAGGTTTCTATAGATTTAGAGTTAGAAGAGACCTAGGAGATTATACAGGATCAGTCAATAAATATGTATTAGGCCTTCCTGACGAATGTGTACCTCAAGTGTCTTTGGGTCGTGTTTTGTGGGTAGCTATCACAGTGTCCAGCTCCGTACCTACATAAATTGAATATTTATTAAACTGCTGTTTACAGTGGCAATGATGAAATGACTACAACATATAATAGAGGGAAAAAAGGAACTCTTTTGGTGGGAAAAGTGAGCAAGTAATGTTTTCAGTGCTGGAAGTGAAATGAAGTGATAGTGTCCCATTCTTCTCAAAAGATGGGATGGTACCCTGCTCCAATCATTAGTCAACCTATCCTCTTGGAATCTGCGTGTATTTAATGAAAACAAGAGGGGAACAAAAGTATGCTTCAGGGGGACCTGGGTGGCTCAGTCAGTTGGGCGTCTGCCTTCAGCTCGGGTCATGTTGGTACTTGCTGTGTAAAATGTTTAGATTTGTATATAAGCAAATTATATAATTGATAATTCTTTATTACTAAAGGTTATTTACAAATGTGTTTAAGGCACAGTAAAAAATAAATTACAATACAAAAGTTATCTTTAGGAAGAAGACACTGAACAGGGTCATATTAACCCCTGAATATTTAGCCAAGACACAAGCTACAAGTTTTATGGAAAAGACTTTCCATGAGTTTTTAACCACTTCTTCATTACACTTATGGAACATCATCCAGGCCATATGTTTGAAAAAATATTATGTTATTTTCAAAGGCTGAATTATGGATAAAAATAGAAAATGTGAGTTAAAGGTAATATAGACCTTAAATCTAACTTTTAGTTTCAAAACTAAGTATTAAGACTACTTTTTTAGTGTAAAAGACAAAATGAGACAGGTATGCAATGAATCAGAATCAAGGGTCATATGTAAATTGTACCAACTATTTTAAAATACCCGAAAAAAAATATCAAAGTTCAGCATCTTTAAATACAGGTAACTATTTGAAAATTCCAGTTTGTTAAAAGAAAGAACATCTTTGGCCCAGTCAGTAAAAACTGAAAATATTAGACGATAAAGATGCGGGAGAGGGAGCACCTAAACTTTCAGATATTTTGTACATTTTGAATAAATGCTGCTATAGCTTAAGTTTGGAAAGACACTGGGAGATTAAACACTTTAAAAAGCACTCTTCTTTCCGTAGCCCATTTATAAAGTTTGCTTTCTCTACTAGTATAAGGGAAAAAACAAATAAAGTTGGTTTCATATTATTAGTTTTGGTATTTCTTTGCCCCATACCAAATCCTCCCTCCCACAAAGTAAGCAAGTAAATTAAAGCAAAAATAAGATAAAGGAAAAAAATAAATAATATCATCCAGTTCTCAGAGCTTTATATAACACTGTACAAAATTATCATCAATATAGGGGTGATTTTTTTTTACCAGCCCTAAATTTTTACAGTTGTAACATACTATTTCAGAATCCTTCCATGTAACTGCTTAATGATTCCAGTCTGCAAGTGAACTTAGATTTTGTTCTGTTGTTATAGATAACTGAATAGTAAGCTAAACAGTATTCACTGCTCATGAAAAACCTGCACTTTTGGTTGTTTCACAACACAGAAAAAAAAAAGGTGACAAGTGATTCATCCTGGGGTGGCATTTGTCAATCTATAAGCATTTATAAACTTTTCTAGCTAGTCTGTGATTTAGATTTGTGCTATTATAAAACTTGGATCAACAAAACAAAAAACAAACATTATCTAGGATACTGAAAAAAATTCAATAAAACAAGATGTGTCCCATACTTAAGGACAGCCATGAAAAAATCAAACTGCTCCTTTAACAGTTTGAATTTAAGATTTACTGTTAATCAGTCAAAAACAGCTGGGAGAATTAGCTCACTTTTAATTAAGAGTGAGAAGGAAAGAGTAAACACATTAACTTTAGTAGCAAGAGTGCTACTCTAAAGAAACTAGTATGTTAAAGGAAACATCATGACAGACAAGTTGGCTTTCATCTCATTTGATACCAATGTATGTGTGTACAATTAATAATCCACAAGGAGTGTTTAAGGGCAAAAATGTAGCTTCTTAGTATAAAAGGCTAATAATGGGCATTTGAAAAATATTTGCACTTTGAAATTAAATAAAACCTTAGTAATAGACTGTGTGTGTTTGTTGGTATCTGCTCAAGAGGGCCTTTGCCAGCTCCAGAGAGATGTTGCTCATCTAGATGGTTATGTACTGCAGAGCTGCTTGGAAGACAGGTCACAATTGAAAAAGCCAAAGAAAAGCTTCCATCAACTTCAGCTTATCCTAAAGTTCTTGTTCTTGGGAATCTTCAGCTTCCTGAAATACAAAAGTTTAAATGGATAATGCATTTGGAAAGAGTGCATAGAGATACCTGGAATTATGAATTACATATATATTATTAGATATGTTCGCCACTGTGAAGGAAAATATTCTTAATCTACTTGTTCTCCTCCTAATTTAACTTTTAAAAGATGTTTCCTGATCCTTGTTAAATAGTTCTCAGTGTCAATTTCCTTAAGTCATAGCCTCTGCCTTGCATGGACACTTGGATGATCCATAAGCTCACCCACACACATGCATGCCTTCTCTCTCTCTCTCTCTCTCTCTCTCCCTTTTTATTATAAACAAAATCAAGCACACAGAAAAGCAGAAAAGACAGTGTATAGAATTCACCCGTTACCTAATTTTAAAGCATTTTTTGTATTATTTGCCATATATTTATTTGGTTTTTAATTTGTTATATATAAATACATATATAAATTTATACATTTATATGTAATAAATGTATATTATATATAAATGTATATTTAAGATAGGGACATTCTCCTCTGTAACCACAATATCTTTATTATACCTAATCAAAATTAACAGTAATTCCCTAATATTATCCATTTTCAAAATTTTCATATTCAAGACTCCCAACTGCCCTCCCCACCAAAATCTTCTTACAACTAGTTTGTTAAAACTAGTATCCATCCAGTAAGGACATCCAGTCACATTGCACTTGATTGTGTTAGTTCCTTAAATTTCTTTTCATTTCCATCTTTACTTTTCATGACCCTGACTTGTTAGAGAATCTGCTTGGCTTTAAAAAGAAAATAGTCCTGGGGCGCCTGGGTGGCTCAGTTGGTTAAGCGACTGCCTTCGGCTCAGGTCATGATCCTGGAGTCCCGGGATCGAGTCCCACATCAGGCTTCCTGCTCGGCGGGGAGTCTGCTTCTCCCTCTGACCCTCTTCCCTCTCATGCTTTCTATATCTCATTGCCTCTCTCTCTCTCAAATAAATAAATAAAATCTTTAAAAAATAAAAAAGAAAAAAAGAAAAAGAAAATAGTCCTTGGTAAAATCTCTCTCTGATACTAGATTCTTCTGGGTTTACAACAGAATCATTTCTCTCCATATTCTATTTTATAAATCCTTGAGGGCTTTCCCTGAAGCTTTGGGTTACAAAAATGTGACTCTTTTTGCAAATAATAATAGTGGACCTACTTCAGAGAATAGGAAAAATTCTGATCATATGAAAAATAAATCATCCTACCCTTTAAGCATAATAAACCTGAAAACTAGAAAAATAGAACTACACACTACTAAAATTAGATTCATAGTCCCAATAACTAGATGAAAGGAGTCGAAATCAATTCCAAGTAGTATAACAGTTCTGTCAAAATGTCAGACATACCTATTGAGTCATTCTCTTGATGCCACAATTGGTTTATAACAAAATACAACAAGCAGATATTACTTCTTTCATTTAAAAAAAATAAAGATTTATTTACATGTGGAAAGTGAATTTATTATTCTTGGTCATGGTAAACATAACCACAAAGCCTCCAATAATCTTAGAATTCTCCCATCTTCCATGGCAGTAGGCTCTAACTGCCTCATCCTTTGCACAAAACACACTCAAAGAGGACGCTGTATATAACACTAATAGAAGACTTTTATCTCCCTGACCCAGCTCCTCTAATTTCATGTAGAAAACACCTAACATCTAATTTCATGAAGAAGTCCTAAAATCTGGGAGATCCACATTAGAGATGGGCCAGACAAGAAACCTAAGGAAAGAAATCAACTCATTTATGAGCCTCACCATCTAAGAATGTTAGTCTGTGTCTTCTAAATAAATGGAGACCTTTTTTTCTTGGTTGAGCCTTTCCTCTTCTTTTCTGTAACAAAGAAGTAGAAACGAATGTCAGGTGAAAATGACAAGAAGCAACGGAGGTAAATCTTAGAAAGAAAGCTTTGGGTGATATATTTTCTCGCATATTTTGGGAAGCATTAAATGCATCTGGGAATAGATCCAAGCTTACAGAGAGCTAAACCACCAGTGCTTTCTATCTACTAATACACATGCCTCCACATGAGCCTGGGTCTCTGAACTTCTACTTGCTTCAGAATACTTTTAGATGGGGATACAATTTGGGAACCTGAAGGAGTTAAAGCAGACACCTTAGTTTATTATTAGTATCCAGCCTCTAATCCCATTCCTTATTCAGAAAAGAAAAAAGAAAAAAATTTGTGTTGACCTAGAAGCCATCTTTATTGCTTTGTAGTCAAACCCTAACATCACAGTTGGGTTCATTGGGCTTCTTAAAATCAATTCTATTTACTTCAGTAAATATTTCTTGAGGAAAGGAAACAAATGGTGCTGGGACAACTGAAAAACTATAATTGCAAAAGAATGAATT